AGAAATGGAGACAGACATGAGAAAAATGAACAAAATAGGATAGAACTGAAAAGTAGGCCTAGGACAGAGTGGGTTGGAGAATGCTGGTCGGTGGCCTATGCTCCATTAGGAGTAACGGGCGTAAGTCAATAGTGTTTTGAAGTAGGTAACAACTTTTTACACAGTGAAATGTTTTTCTCATCGTAGTGGAAATAGAACTTCATTTAATACATGATCATATAAGTTAAACAATTTATATATTATATTGTATTCACAAATAATTGCATGCCATTGAAACTTGTTAGATTGATGCCATGTAAATCTAGTGAAGTTAAATATTTTCAGTAACCGACATGTCATTCTTGTTAGTTGTTAGGATGAATGAACTGTAGCTACAAATGCGACATAATATAATTATCGATGAAATGTATTTTCTCTAACCAAGAATTCTGCTATTTCGATGGGCATAAATGCCTTACAAATCTAATAAAAATCAGTTTTTGATCATGCTGATGAATAAAGACTACCAATCACTTACTCTTTGATTAGATAGATGTTGTTGACGGCACTGAGCTATGACCATCAAGGCTTGAAATGCAGAAACATCAACTTATTCCCTTGGAGTATTACGGATCTGTTGGAAACCTGAAGTTATGGAATCGGATCTCATGTGATGTGATATATGTTTACTTCTGAGTAGTCTTCATCCAGGAAGAACTGTTCAGTCGTATTATTTTTGTTTGCAAACGCAAGGCTGATATTGTCAATTTATGTGTTTAATACTTATCATATATTTATTCAAACATTAAAGAAAACATAAGCAAAATTATCAAAAATCAATTAAATCCATGTTATGTTAGGTGTCTAAATAAAAGTATCCTAAATATCTATCAGATATAGAAACAAATTATGGAACACAGAATAAAAAAACAGAAGAAAGTTGGAAATAAGTAGTTACGTTTTGAATCACTGAATTTATCTGTTTATTTCCGCAACGTGTAATTGTTTACTAGAAGCTATGACAACATATAATAGGAAGCTGAGATATCTATTGAATCACATAATTAAATTGGTATTATATAAGTCTGTCAGTGATGTCAGTAATTTGAACTTCAGAAAGAGATGAAATAATGAATGACGTAATAAATAAATGGAAAGAGGAGGTTAATGTTACTAGAGCAAAGAAAGATTTATTACTGTCTCTTTTTGTATACATAGATCTGTTTTTAGATGTTTAATTGCTATTGCTACGGCAAATTTCAAAAGTTAAAGTTTGTTTGTTTGTTAATCACCTTGATGGACCTCAATGTATCGACTTCATGTCCTGTGTCAAGGAGATATCTTGTAATGGCATTACTGAATGTTTAAGATCAAATAGATGTCAAGTATGTCAATATCTGTAATAACGTTAATTTTCAAATAATTTAGGTTGTAAGCAACTGATGAGAACCTAATGAAATAATATGAATTCATATTATTCTGCACCAATCTTTGTTTTTGCCCTCTTTAACAAATATTTCTGTGTAGTAATCAGTAACGAGTTAATTTTTCCAAAAAGTTTTAGTTTATTCCTTTGGTAAATTATTTTTTGTGATAATTCGATTAGAATCTGAAATTTTGTTTACTTGTAAAAATGATTCGACCGTAAAGTAATAAAACACATTTTTCCACAATTATGTTGGCTTCAAACAAACCCAAATAATATATATATATATATATATATTGAGAGTTTATTTCTGCCTTTTTTAGTTACCTACTATCAGTAAACTTTAAGCCTGAATTGTTTAACAGAAAGGAATCAGTAGTTTTTCTAAAAAATAACTTCGAGTTACTATCGTTATTATGGAAAAAATAATCCATTCAATGAACTGATGTACATTGGTAGATTTGAGTTTTCATAGTAACTTGATAACAATGATGTTATAACTCGCGGTTTGTGTCCTTGGTTCGTTTTTTTCACCCCGTCGCCAATTGTTATAACTTGTGGCCAGTGTGCCCTGTTAATGTATGAAGTAATGATACCGCCAATCAGAGAGCAGTGAATTATCAACCGGACCAATGAACTTATTGGTCCTGCTTCCTGCCTAGCTCAGCCATTTAAGTAGAGAACACCAATCTCAACCTCTGCAATATGAATCATTTATTTCAAGCATACCGGGTCTGTATACCAACCAGACAAACCACATCGTACCATAAAATAGAAAATAACATTTGTACAAGATTTAGACAAATGTGGCTGTGAATAAGAGAGATAGTAATTGGCAAACAGGGCATAATTCAAGAATGGCAAATCGTATAATAATAGTTTATATGTCAAAATAAAGCTCATAATAAGAGGGACATGAATGTGAATAGTTTAGCTATTTAACAATTATACGGTAAAAATATATGCATAGTATTGTTCCATAAATGGATCCCAAAAGCTATCATTCATCATTCTAATCACGACATAAATGAAAAATGTAATTATTGTTAATACTAATTACTTTATTCATAATTATATTTTTGATACGAATATAAAATTCTCAACGCAAAGTCTTTCAAAATGTTTCCTTTTCTTATTTCTCGATCGACCCTTGCGACAAATATTGAGTGTTTGCCAGTTAAATGTTAGTACTTCAGGAATGGACATCTGTATAATGTTTATTCTTTTCAATGCATATTGGCAGCACCACAATGTTTCTGATTATACTTTTTTATAAGTTGTACAGTGAAAGGTCGTGAAATTTTGGTAAACGCTCCTAAATAGGTAATGCGATTACCAGACATAATAATGTGTTAAAACAAACAAGAAAACAGATAACTTGCTAAAATAATTAGATTAATTTCAATTTTCAATTTTTCCGCTTTCAAATAGAATGCATTACTGAAATCAATTGTAATTTGATTTTTGCATTAACCTGTCTACACACTACTATGCAAACCGTTCGCTTATGTATTCGTATTCATCAAAATGTCTGAAATGTGCGGATGACTTTTATACAAAAAATCTTTCAGCCATCTTATTAATTTTCCAAAATAAGAAGTGTTAGAAAAAGAAATATTTATAACTTAAGATGTTTCGTCCTTCAATTTTGACATGAATGAGTTTCTATTTGGCACACTATTTAGGTTAATGAACGTTTAGTCAAAATATGAGGAGAAAAAGCACAATTTTAAAGTTTTTGAATTCACTTGATGTTGTTTTACTTGTATCTTCCCATTGTTATTTGGGGCTGTGGACGGTACTTGGTTCGAGTTCCGAGGTAAACATCAACTCTGGAATGCAGGTACACCTATCTGATGAGTCCCGAATAGGACGAAACCTAAGTCTTGGATTCCACTGTTAGCCACTATCCATCTTTGCTTACAAAGCTATTAGTTATTAATTTTTAAATGTTTTAAAACTTTCACCAATAAATCACTTGTAAAACGTTGTTAAATTATTTTTTTCCAAACCTCTTAGTATAATAAACAATAAGTATGATGTAGTGTCGGTGGGTATTTTAAGTCCATATAACTTATTCTAGCTCCTGAACAGGCCAATTTATTATTTTTCTTGAGTCACACTTTGACCTTGCTAATTATTTGCTTATCAACCTTGACTGTTTTTATATGAGCGTATGCGTGAACACTTCTTATTATATTCATCACATGTCTGTAACTTATTTTTGTGTGACTATAAATATTGATTAACGCTAGACTCAATGGAGTTGGCTAACATGCCTTTTCCACTGTGCGTTGTTTCGCTCTCTCTTCATCGCTTCCTTATCTACGTCTCTCAGATTATTTGTTCTGATCAATGATTGTACAAATTATATGTATTCGAAATCCATTCTTGTATTTAACTTATTTAATTCCGTTATTGACTAAGGTAATCTAAATCGGTAATTTTATACGAGAATAGCCGGGATGTATATTTTCACAACAATCAATCATACTATATAATCAGAGTCAGATCCCGGGTCACTAAAATGTACTTCAGCAATATTCATTATGTAAGGTAAATATTTCAGAAAATACGTCAATATGTATATATCCAAAAATGACCATTCATCCACGATTTGAATAAAAAAAGACTTTACCAGCATTTCATATCATCTCAGAAGAATCTTATTTTCTAAGCTGTCAATATCATTAGTTAGCTAAATATGATTGTCATGTGTGCATAAAGCGGTAAAAATATATCTTAAAATTCTTATACATAATATCACTCGAATTCTATTAGTAATAATTTCAATTCAGCTCAATTTTTTCTTCAGTGCTGAACAGTTGATCTAGTTACCTAATTTATAAAAAAACACGTAAAGTTATACGCTTTTAACTGGTTTATTTCGGTATTACGTATTTCAATGCTGAAATAGATATAACACTAATCTTGATGGAAATCTGGGGGATATTTATTTTAGTCTGGATAATGGTTTAAATTTCGTATGCTTTAGTAAACTAATTATGAATTAATCGTCATGTAATTTTAGTATCATTATTTTCCTACATGAACGTTTCACATTTTATAAATATTAATTATACATTGCATTGTGACTCAATACAATACAGACAGGTAGCTACCTCAGTACAATGGAAGATAGTCTCTCAGTTACGTGGATTGGTTGAGTTTAGACATTAACACCGTTGGATATTGGCTCAGTGATCTAGATGTAAAACATTCACGCACGAAACTGATAGACCCTGGATTCAAATCCCTCTCGTGGGATCCGAGGATGCGCACTGCTGAGGAGTCTCACAAAAGGATGAAACGACCGTTCAGTGCTTTCAAGTTTCCAACGGTGGTCTAACATTAATCGGTTTATGATCTCAATCAAAAACATCTATTTGAGCATTGAAATCACACATTTTAAGTAATATATACACAATATGATTATTCATAATAAACAAATCATACCTTATCCTTCAAGACTTGGATTCCCATTTAAAACTTACTGGTTCTGATATTTAAATCTTGACCTTTAGTCATTATAGTAATGTTTTAGTACACAATCTTATAACTAACACCAGAATATAAGAAATGAATAAATTATCAATTAAATATAACTCCAAAAAAATGTTGTTTATTCAAAATAGTAAAATCATTTGTATACATGATTACATAAACAATTATTTGTTGAATATTTAACATTTTACTATAATCATTTCAAGTAACTGAATAAAATGATCTATTGTATATTATTGATTTACTTTTTTTTTGCAAACAAACAAAAAAAAACATGATCTTGACAAATAAAAATCTAAATGTTAATAATTGATTCATATTAATTATAATTAGCTTTTGAAACGTGTATCATTTTTGGCTTTCAATAAAAATAATCTTAATCATTTGATTCTGTTAATTAGAAGAGTTATTCACTTTAATAATAGTTAGAAAATAACATTGATATCTTGATTTGAAATTCCACATTATGAGTCTACTCAATTAAATATTCAATATACTACTCATAGTTTTCTTTATTTTTTTATTGTTTTGTTTTTATTTTCAAATATCAAATTCATACTTTAAAATTGTAGATAATAATGTAATATATATGATCATATTAATAAATAATTTATTACAATGATTATTTATTTTTTTTGATGTTGTTTTTAATAAAATTGTATTTGAATTCATATTTAAATAGTTACTACGTTTTGTATTTTTTATATCATTTTGTTGATTAGAAATCGAATGTTGAGAACTTTTATTGATTTTATTTAATTTGATTTGATTTAAATTAGTTGCTATGTGTATATTATGATAATCGTTTACGATAAAATCAGTTTGATTTGATTGATTTATAATATTTGGTAATAAATGTTCAGAAATATTAATAGTTTGTTCACATCCATATGGTAAAGTTTCTCTGAAATAATTTTGAATTAATTCAATAATATCACTTGAACAATGATATTCAAGTATTTTCTTGATACAATTAACTTTTGTGATAGTTCCACTAGAAAACAAAAATGATAAAAAGAAGTCATCATGAATGGACTTTAGCTACAGAACCTCTGAAAATAAAAAAAAACATTAAACAATTGACTACATTTTATCGGAATCTTCAACTGTTGTTAGTTTGTTATTAAAACTAGTCTCAAAGTTACGACATTCTCGATAAGATTATTAGGATAATCATAAAAAATTTATTTATAAATGAACATGACGTTTAATACATTTTGTTGAGGTTTAATAAGGTCACTGTATTCAGCTTTTTATACAGAACAGATGTGTTGTGACTAGCTGAAGAAGTTATGACGCTCATACGCCCCATTTAGAACTCGTCAGCCAGACCTCTTCACATTCACCTCAAATAACGTTAATACTTCATTGGTTATTGAAAGTGAAGGAAATTGGGTACAAAGTGTTGTGTGTACGTCAACCTTAAGAAACAGGTATGTGTATAGACGAATCCCGAATATGATAAAACAGGGATCCTGGAACCTACTGCCAATCATAATTCAACTTTGCTATAAAATTATAATAAAACTGTAATATCAAGGTGAAACACACATGATGGACACATGGTAATTAAGACTGGTTAAAATCCTGTTAAGAGCACAAACAATGAGAGAATTACAATCATTTGTTTTGAAAGTACTTCTAATTATACTATTTAGAAAGTTAATAAAAGCTTCATAATTAAATCATTTCGCTCAAAAAATGAAATAATACTAATATTAGATATTTGAACTGTTGAGCCTCACCATCAATTTAAAAGCTGTATAAAGTTTTTCAACTTACGTACAATATGTTGAACGTAACACTGATTTCATATAATTCGCATATTCATCCGCATTACGTGAGTTCACTGGATTACTATTAGCCAGCTGCAAATATGTTTTAGACAAAAGGTTTGAATATTGTTTGGAACAGTTTTCAACTTGAGACTCATATACGGAAAGACATTTATCGCGATGGTACCTGAAAACTGTATGCAATAAAAAAGTAGGCAATCATCACAAAAGTGTAAAAAATAATTAAAATCTAATGTAATATTGCATACTCTGCAAAGATCATTTTTGGCTGTGAAAATAAGACTTGATCCATGAATTGTTAACTATTTTAGAATAACTTCAGAATATAATGTTGAATATTGAAGACTGTAAACATTGAATTGTTATTCTAATCAATACTATTCTATTTGATCTGTTTGTTGTCACCCAGATGAGAAGTTAAACATTAAGTATACTTGATACTTTGTCCCCAAATAAAATTATTCGACAAAAGCAGTTATCCGAAGTTTCTGTTGATATCTACGGTTTTATGAACAATTACATTTTGTACATAAAAGCTCTAAGGAGGGAACATTTTACAAATTCAATATTGTACTTTGTCAGCGATTAAACAGTTACTTATCTCTTTACTAACTAACCTGTTGAATGTAATTAAATTGTAGTCATATATCCAATATGACTGTATAGTTTAAGGTAACCTGTCCAAACTTAATCGTCACTCTGCAGTGAACGAGCTGTTTACTTATAGTTATTGACTATGTTTTTGACAAACATTGATAAATAGCTTTGAACAGTTAGTAAATTCAGGGTAATCGCTTCCTTTTCTTCAGTTTTTTTATGTGACTCTACTTTGTGACGAAAACTCTATTCATCTTAAAATCAGTCCACTCTACTAACTTAAATCACAATAGCCGGAGTCCGATTCGATTCTTTTTATTCCCAAACTAACTGAATAGGATAATCTTAGCTTTTACAGAAGAATGAGAACAGCCTTTCTGTCACTAAATTTTTAGATACTTTAAAGTAAGAAAAGAAACCATACAGTTGTGATTTTAAAAACTCATCTACACTTAAGACACGAAATACTCAACACTCATCGGTGTTTTGTATACGTAGAAGTTGTCAAATTGTCTACTTTCATATTATATTCACTGAAATTTGTTCAGAAATGAATTGATGGTTGACAGAAATTTATTTAACTCACGTACTACGTAGATTATATTGTTGACATAAATAGTTTGCTGCTTTTTCATAAGGTGTTGTGTCAAAAATAAATTGCCACATTACATTTCTAAAATGAGAAGTCGATTCAGGTGAGCAACGATTTAGAATAGTTAACTGAGCACATGAATACACTTTGATATGCCATTTTGTTCTGAAGGAATAAAATAAACATTAAGATCAAATTAAGAACAAGAAATATTCTGATTAATAGTGACCATCAACCAGTATAATAACAAATTATGAGAAGCTATGCGGTAAAAATTTTCGAAAGACCAACTTCCATTACTAGTATTGTAGTGAACAGAACCCAGGTGTGGACAATCAGATATATTTAACAAATTACAGAATTAGTTAGTAAAATCCAACAACCATATATTAAATCGTTAATTTGCAGATTGTTCACCAATTGTCTCAAATGACTCAGAATTCCTTTGTTCTTGCACTTTCATACAAATTGCATTCCTTCTTCATTCTTTATTGTTCGATCTTCTCGTCTCTCTGCTGCCTGACATTCCGTTCAGTACTCACGTCATATACTACTTATGTCTACATAAGTAGCACACGCCACAGTATAACAGTGACATAATTACAGAATCCAATCCTGAATATTATAAAGGTTAAATAATCATATAGCAGCTTATTGGATCAGAATATGTAGGGTATTCAGATTATTTTTGCGGATGGTTATCCATAAGGAATTTCACATACAGATGGAACAGGTGACTATTGCTTCTTAATATGTAATAGTTCTTTAACTGGCGTCATTCAATGATGTACACTTTTCATAAGAAAGCTTCACTATCACTGGTAAGAAAAGTAATCTATAAAATATCCAAGAAAGCAATAAAACTGTTATATATACATATTATATGTATCCTGACATTAATACGTCCAGTCTAACTGAAATCTTTGTCAAATTTACTTTTCATCTCTTTGCCACATAACAGACAATTGCTTCATAATCAATAATATTCCAGTCAAGATAAATTGAGAGTAATTACAAATTAATTAGAAGATACACTTCTAACAGAATCCAAATGTAATAAAAATGCAAAATGACAAGAAAGTTGTTAGCAGTATGCATTTCACTTCTTGTATAAACATAATTTACGAATTTTCTAATCATGTTTTTTTAAACCGATTATTTGTCTTAACGTCTCATTCTGGAATCGGCATTTCAGGATGGTCTAATATTTTCTAGTAGTGTAGAGTTATTTGAACTAAAGTAGATGGCAGATAATCACTATGATATTTTATTGAATGATTTGTTTATGAATGTTTGTAACAGTATTGTTGTTAAACCGTCTATAGAACATTGTGTTTTTAAAAAGAAGTAACTTTGATATTTATAGAAAAGTAAAGTAAAGTGACTCGGTTGTTCATTATCTATAAAATAAAAAAACTTGATCGTTTGCGTTTACATGAATTCGATTTACTATTCAACCGTATTTAGACACCGATAAGTGGTTTAATTTAATTTCAATGTAACCAATGTGCTAATCTTGTAATTGAGTACGTAAACGTAACATAATTACCATGTTTCGGTATTCAGTCATGAAACTACTAAAATCTCCACAAAACCCCTTCTGATAATAACCATCTGCTCACTGGTGACTGACTTCAAGAGGCATTTCCTGGAGTCCTAGTGAGAAGTCGTAACTAGTGGAGTTCAACCAGGTCTCTTGTGAGATATCAGCTCGCTGAAGACAATGGTGTACGGTGGTGCGATTTCGTAGATTAGTTAGACATTAACACTGTTGGATATTGGCTCAGTGGTCTAATGGTTGAGCGCTCGCGCGCGAGAATGATAAGTCCTGGGTTCGAATCTCGTTGGTGTTGGGATCACGGATGCGCATTGCTAAGAAGTCCCATACTAGGACAAAACGGCCGTCCAGTGCTTTCATGTTTTTCATGGTGGTCTAGCTTCAATCGACTCATGATTTCAACTATTGAAATTACTACAATCTCCATAAAAACCCCTTCTGATAATAATTACTAAGATTATTTAGTATAAGTTACACATAAAAGTTAGTGAAAATTGCATGCAAAATATTTACCGACACATTTGTTCCACATCACCGACTGAACCAAAACCAAAGCCAAACCCTTCATATTTTTCTGGAATTCTTCTAACTCCAGCCAATTTTGCACAGTTATTCAAATCGTCTATATGGAGTACACAATCATTACATTTACCGTAGTTGAATATAAATAGACAGAATACTAAACAGATACAGAATTTCCAATAGAAATGTGTCGACATATGTACAGTATGAAAAATATTCATTTATTGTAGTTGGTCTATTAGTTTGGTGAAACTGTTACTATCCCTTTTTTCCTAATGAAATTTATATAGTTTATATCTGACGTATATTATTATTCTTCGTGAACCACTTTGGTGTTTTGAGCATTCTGGTATTCTGAAATTGAGTTTAAAAAACATAATTACAATAATTGTATAAAAAGATTCGGAAATGAATTAACTAAATCAAAATGGAGATTTGTGGAGAATGTAATGATTTTAACAGATAAATTCATGAGTTGATCTAATGTAGATCATCATTGAAAACCTGGAAGCACTGTACGACCGTTTGGTCCTAGTATGGGACACTTCATCAGTGCGCATAAACGATCCCAGAACCTTAGGTCTCGCGTGCTAACGCTTAACTCTTAAATCACTGAATGGTGTTAATCAATCCATGATGGTGCGCAACCATTGATTTTTTGTCTGAGATGGATAACTGTCTCTATCTGACATGGATTGGACTATTGAGGGGTCTTATGCTAGAACGTAATAGCCATCCGGGACTTCCAGGTCTTCAGTGGTTATCTAACTTAGATCAACCAATGAATTCCATCATTAAAACTAAATGTTTATGATTTATATAAAAAAAATCTAAAGGTTGTTTTAGTTGTCACTTGTACGATGGAAATTCAAAATAATTTAATTTACATTGTAGTGATTTTGAATGCAACTTATTATAATTTTCTCTGCTCAGTTGTCGTAATAACATTGTTTATAATTGTTTTTATTAAGATCGTTATATTTCGCTAAGTTTATTGATACAGAAATGATATCCAAATATATAGTGAACAATAACTGTAAAATTTCATATTAACCAATCTACTTATTTGACGACGTAAGCAATTATGTTATAAACCGTTATGAAGAGAACATGAATAGTATTGTTCAGGTACGGATAATATGACATCGCTGGTTGCTATAAAACGGTGAGTATAATATCAAAGAGTAGTGTACTGCCTGTGAGACCTGTTGTGTATGTGATACTGAAGATCACCATTCTATAGAGGAACAACTGTTCAGTGTTTTATGGTTTACATCAGTTTACTAATAGCTGATGCCAGTTCTTAATGAAAATTCACTTTAATTTAAACAGAATCTGAAAGCTGTTAACAACAAAATATTCATGTTATTCTGAGTATAAAGATTGATTAGTTCTTCGTTGTTCTACACCTTTTCACTTGATTTAGCATTGAAATAAATTCAACGTACATCATGAGAATAAATGTATAAAGAAGATATTATTGATTGATTTCTTATGAAACAATGGAATTTTGAATGTTTATTAATCTTTTCTACAAGTTATTCGTTGGTACTCATCAATAACCACTAAAACATTCAGTCACTCGTTTTGCCCTATTTGAATATAATCCTGTTTTTTGTTTCTGATACTTTACAATTATGTACTTCTGTTGTTTCTTTTTGATTCACACTCAAATCATTTGGATTAAATTATTCATGATTATGTTCTTATAAGATTTACATAAGTCAATACTATTTACAAATTAAGAAATGTCAATTTACTAAAGAAGATTTACAATTTTGAATAGTCGGGGAGACATTCTTTGGCACATCGTATAGTTCTGTTTAAATATTAACCAAACACAAAATGAACTGCTAAGCAAATAAATATTTCTCTATATCATGATATGACATTAATATTTAAATTTCATAGTTGATTGTTGAACTAGCTATAATCAAGTTAAGAGATGAATTACTTGGTCATGTGTATTTCTCCACATTGTTCCATTCTAGAGGTAGTTATCATTTCATATTTTAGATCATTGTAATTAAAGATTTACTGTAAACAGTCATGTTTATGATGAATAGGTGTTTGTTTAAAACTACTTCATAATCCTTATTATCAGAATAAATGTAAATGTATATTACCAGATAAAAAAATATTACCTTTCCTATCTATACTGTTCTAATTATGCAGTTTAGGAATAAAATCTCAATAGTCTATTGTATTGATCATCTTATTTTATGAAGTTGAAATGGCTATAGAAATATACACACACATAACTAATCTTTTTATATATCTAAATCAGTTAGTTCTCTTGATAGTGTAATATGAAGAGGAAGATTATCAAAACTATGTGATATATTGAAACCTTAGCCATAGGAAAACTCAAATCCCCCTCCTTTGTGTATTCAAAAATAATTTGTTCTCACCTTAAAATTATTCTCTTAATATTAGCGTATTATCCAGAGTGATGAGGTTTCAAACTGTTTTCACATTATTTTTTTTATTATCCTCTTACTTTCCGTTTCTAGTTTAGTCGAAGCAATGCACACGATATGCACATATGTCAATAAGAGACTGATCAATTGCAGTCCTCAACATCAATGGGAAGATTCAAGTACACAATACCAAGTGAATTAAAACTTCGCCTCATTACATATGCAAGTGGCTATCAGGACTCAGTAGCTAAGTGGATAACGCGATGGAGTTTGAAGTGAACGGTACTGGGTTCGAGTCCTGGAGTGAACATCAACTCTGGGATGCAGGTACATCCAGCTGACGAGTCACTAAGAAGACAAATGCGCATCCTGTATTCCGCTGCTAGCCACTATCCATCTTTGCTTATAATGCTTGAGAATTAAGGCAATATCGAGAAAATACTCACAGTATACACATATGCCAATACGAAACTGATCAATTGCAGTTCTAAACAATAATGGGAAGATTCAATTTAACAAAGTCAAGTGAATTTATTTGACCGTATATTTTTATATATAAATGTTCTTAACAAGTATATGTGTAACCATATTGTTCGAAATATTTTGCCCCAATATATCTCATAGTTCTGATAATTTTTGTATAATATTAGGGTAAACGCTTAAATTTATAGTGAACTGATATCTAAATTTTGATTTAATTGTAATTATGCCTATATCCTATACAAACAAATATATATACATACAAAGCATCTCATGATGTAATATTCCAAAATACAATTTTTCAAGTCCCCTACAATAAATCATTTAAAGAAATAAACAAAATTATAACCTTTGTTCATAATAAAAAAATCTTGATTGGTTTATGTTAGACACTAAGACGATTGGATGCTGACTCAGTAGTCCAGTAGGTTAAGCGTTCGCGCGCAAGACTGGAGGTCCTGAATGTGCACTGCTGAGGAGTCCCTTAATAGGACGAAACAGCCGTCCAGTGTTTACAGGTTTTCAACTGTGGTCTAACATCAATCGGTTCATGATCTCAATCAAAAACTTTGTAATCTTTACAACCCTTATACTGATATTTATTAATATAGTTAACTTAGAGTTAGGACATTCATAGCTCCTTTATTAATTTCAAGTACCTTTTAAAGTAAACTTTAAAATGTTGATGTTTTATTTTCAGTATGATCACTTGAATGATCCATTATGTGCCCCATATACATAATATTTTTTAATAAATTTAAGGGTCAAGTATTTTTTTAATCTTCTACTGTATTTATAATCAATAAAATAAATCATTTTAACCTCAATATTTAAATAAGATTTATCCTAGTAAGAAAGTATTATGGAATAATTGTATCCTTTTATAAACATTTTATAAATCTATCAGTAATATAAATAACCTGAATAGTAATAATAGTAATCAAACATCTAAAACCAGATCTATGTACTCAAAAATAGGTAGTAATAAATCTTTCTATGCCGTGATAACATTAACCCCCCCCTTTTTGTTTATTTATTAAGTTATTCATTATTTTAACTCTTTCTGAAGTTTAAATTACATCATTGTCATTTTTCTTTTATTCATAATTAAGTGATTTCAATTTATATCCCTCTTTATTACCATTAATCTATTTTCAGTTACTTAATTACACAATCATTTAATGTTTGTTAACTCCATGAGTTCTAATCACTATTTCAATGTTCTGGAACTTTCTCTCCTAAACATTATCTAATCGAAACCTCATTAACCTTATCACGATGCATATATTCATCCTTAATCACCCTCTTATTTATAAGTTTATTTGTATATCTCTAATAACGTTGATTTTCAAATATTTTAGGTTGTAAACAGCTGATGAGAACCTGATGAAATAAAATGAATTCATATTATTCTGCACCAATCTTCGTTCTTGTTCTGTTTAATATAGTAAAGAGAACTATGTGTATGAAATATGAATATACTTATTAATATAAGTGGATTTAATCAAGTACAATTTTTCGATCTGATATTTGTTAATTTAAAACTGTTAGTCTTACCCAAGTTTCAGTGATTCACTGTTGAGTTATATTTTAAATCCTCTTCTTATTAATAACTTTTAGATCATTTAAAGTTTCCTTTTTTAATTCGTCATGAACACACAAATTTTATGATTAATTGATTTATCAAACGAATTTTCGTTTTATCATATTGTTTTCAGAAGGTAACAAGCTTTTATAAAAATATTTTCTATAAGGGATATCATTCAGCAAAATAGTTTCTTCATTATCTAATTATCAAATTAAATACACCTTTGTATTGTGTATGATTTTTATTCTTGATGTAGTACACTCAACATTTTCTATTAAGATCCACAACAATAACTAAACATGTTAGACGTGAACGTTTGTTTCAAACATTCATTGTAACTTACTAACATGAAAAACCATGTATACTGTTCTTCAAAAGAAAGTTCATTGTTACATGAAGACTTCAACACAATTCTTTTAGAAAGATGGATAGATTTTAGAATTTTCTGTTTGTTCTTTTGTTTGGTTGATAACAACAATAAAGCTATTTTACTTAATATTCAGATAATTCATTGTGAATTGTATGGTGATATCATTGTATTCAGTACATTGGTATACAGGAAATATGAATTATTTGAAAAAAAGAAACCATTAATAAAAATATTAAACTGGAAAAACATACACGATAATACCTGATTTTTGTCAGTAAAAAAACGTATTAGAGTTTATAATAAAAAAGGTTCAATCAACGCAACCATATATACTCATATATATATTCCTTATTTCAGTAACTATATGAAAAAAGCCTTTAAAAATAAAATGAATATCATCGAAATTTAGTTAAGTTATTTAATATTTCTTATTTTCAATAGTTGAGATCATGAGTCAATTGAATCCAGACCACCAAGGAAAACCTGGAAGCACTGGACGGCCGTTTCGTCTTAGTATGGGACTCCTCAGCAGTGCGCATCCATGATCCCGCCCCCCGCGGGATTCGAACCCAGGACCTATCAGTCTTACGTCAGGCGCTTAACCAACTAGAACACTGAGCCGGCATCTAATGGTGTTAATGTTTACGTTCAACTAATCCACGAAATTGAGCGACACATCCACATTTTTTATTTTACAATAAATAAATAATTTATATAATTTGAACAGAATGTTTGTACTACTGAAATACTACAATAATTTTCAAATCTGTTAATTAATTTATAACTTAGTGTAAAATTTAGAAGAAATGGGATATTGTACAGTATTTATTGATTTTGTCTAACGGTATAAATAATGATATTTTCTGATATCATATTACAATAAATAAATAAATCTACTGAGATATACACCATGACAACAAGAATCATTAAATTGAATTATTTATACATTTACCTGTATATATTGTATGTTAATAAATATGATAATATTCAAATGTTTATTTTATTCCCCTGGTTTCAATGAAATACATACATGTAATAAGAAAGAATCAATCAGATAAGGAGATGTTATTTTTATAGAATAACTAATGATTCTGAATATACAGAACCTTAATATTAAGAATGAACTAACGAAATAATCTTTAAAATTTGACTTATTTTTTTATTCAAAATAAACAATGCTTTATATTACACATGAGATTTGAGTTTTGAATACTGATAGTGAGTTACAATTCATTGATTTTGGAATTTACTTATTTACGTTAGTGGAAATATAGAACATACTAACTTATATAAGTAATACATACTAAAATATATTGGTTAGTTAATAGTTATTACATAATAGATACTTGAATTGATATATCCGACATCATATTGTCTATATTGTTTAAAATGAAATAAACTACTTATAACAATAAAATAAGTAGATGAAAATATCATTTAAATAACAATAAACCTGATACATTATTTTATCATTACTATCAGTATAATTTCAAGCCTATTTCGTTTACGTAAGAAAAGAATACTGCTTGAAAGTTTATATCATCTAGTTTTACTTTCGATTTTGAAAAAAATCAGCTGTAATTTAGTCTGTGAGATATCATAATACTATAATAAAATGTATATTTTTATACTTGTAAACAACATTACAATGTAATATAACATTATACATATATACGTTGCTATGGCAGCTTTTTTTAATAACAACTAACATAACTTACGAATTTATTGTTTGAAAATTTTATTTAAACAGTATCATAAATGATCTTTAATTGATCGGTTCATCTTCAAGTTGAATAGATTAACAAATACACATAGCTAATGATTATCCAATATAGAAAGTAAATATTAGAGTAAATTAATTTTATAAACTATTGTAACGTAATATACAAGATGTCAATTAAATCTATCTATCTATGCGTATATATATATATAGTCATATTTATTCAATTGCTATATGAAAACGTGGGCGAAAATGGAATTAAAACAAGAAGAAGATGAAGGAAAAAAAAGAAAGAAGATGAGAAAAAGAAGAAACTTTGAATGGACAATTCAGTTTTTATTTTAATTCATATCGACAATTTAAGATACACTATGATATGAACAAATAAAAATGAACGAGAAATAATGTTGTGTATCATCATTGTTAATTTATTATTATTATTATTTTCATTAAAACTATTATGTGATTGGTTATTTGATTATTGTATTCGTTTAATTATCCAACACACACATATATATGTACAATATATTCAATGGAAATTTTTTTTTATTTTTTATTTTTAATGAGGTAAAGTTGTAACTGGGTTAAAATCATCATGTATGGTGTTGTTAATAGATTCTATTTTCTTTATATTGCAAGACGACGAAGAATAAATGCTTTGGAAGAAGAAGAGCTAGCTCTGCATGGACTAAACCAACATGATGACTCATAAATTAGCTTGTATTTCTGTACATGACCCGCAAATTTAAATTTTCCAATAAAAACCTCTTGGCTCCCATTACGTGATCTCTCTTGGTGTGGAGTCCTCGGTTAATATTGTCTATGTTATGATTTCAGGTCTTCATTGGAAAGAAATATCTACAGGCCTTACTAATCATTAGCGATTTACCTAGAATTTGGTTTAAACAACATTAAAGTTGATTGACTTCTTATCCATAGAGTCAAGCTACTTGACAAGTTAATTGATCTTCTATTATCATCTTACTTGTCATTTTCTAACACATTTTCTTGCATTTTTACATAACACATTCTAATTTCCTATATTGATTTGCTATCTCAATTTTAATCATAATTAAACATTATTGAAAAGATTGAACCCTAAAATTACCTATTTCTAATGATTCGAATGAAATATTGTCATTTTAAGAAATCGATCATCCTCCATTTAGATTTACAATTTAGAAAATAAGTTTAATAAAACAAATTCATTGTTTTGGATAAACTCAATAAATGTTTACTACATATTCATTCAATCATATAAAAATAGCATAATTGAGTAGTTATTAAATACTGAATAACATCTGCGCTGAAATTTCCTATCAATCTATAAGCACGAATATTTTCTCTTTTAACTTAGATAATCATTGCGTGACAATATTCATAGAAAAAAAGATATTCAAATCTAAAAACAGAAAAAGGGTAAACATAATAATTTCCTTATGCAGATAATAGTAACACAGTGATACAGGTTATAGTACACTACTGGATATATATATATATATATATGTCGGTTACTATGCTAAGCCTATATGACTTATTCTGGCTTCTAAACAGGCCGATTTATCCACTATTGTTGAGTCACGTTTTGACCTTGTTAATTATTCACTTATTAATGTTGACTGTTTTAATATGAGTGTATGTGTGTACGTACATATTTCATCCTACTCATCACATGTATGTAACTTATTTTTGTATAACAATATATATATATATATATATATATATATTAACGCTTGATTAAAACGTGTTGACTCACTCATCTTCTACATTGAGTGTCATTTAGTTTCACTTCTCTTTTACATTTTCGCTTTCTTCGCACCGTTTCTCTGATTATTTGTTCTGATCAACGATTTTACAAAATATACATATTCAAAACTTTATTCTCGTATTAGACTTATTTAATTCCTTTATTCACTGACGTGACTGAATTCGATAATTATATACGAGGATTGACGATATGTATATTTCGATAACAATCATCCGATAACTATAATTCATACGATCTACCTGGAACCACAAAAGTCTACATCTGTTTCGAACACGAGGTTTGGATATGATAAGATCTATATCGATTACTTCAGTTTAAATAATAAACATTTTATTACCATAAGACTATATGTTTGGTATACGGTGACGTGCTGTATAAGTTTTATTGAATTTATCTATCTAATGAACAAGTAAAACGTTCACAATTACCGTTAATTACGTATTTTTTAAAATCATGGAATATGGTGTTCAGACATTCAACATACCTAATTATGATAACAATGTAATTAACACCCATGGGAAAGTTGAACTAGGCTAACAGTCATAAATGAACGACTACACAACAGAATCTACAGTATGACTGCATATTTATTACGAAATTTGTTAAGACTATAATTTATGGACGACCTTTGAGCGATTTTAAAGTGGCCTTGAGAATGTCGGCCTAATGACTAGGTCTAAACCAGTGTGAAAGATAAGAATTGTGATTTATAGTTGATAGTTAAGGATATGAATTAGATTTGAGGGTTTTCATTACGAACTGACATCATCACGAATTGACACTATTAACCCAAATGGATAAAGAATTTCAAGCCGAAATCCAAAACCTGTTTGAATTGTCCATAAATTATAGTTTCGCCCGAAATATTTAAAATATTTTAATCTGAAAAATTTGTTTTTATCAAATTATGTATGTTTAAACATAGAAAACACCTGACATTCCTTAGTCATAATTAAAGTTTATCATTTGAAAATTTACTAAAATATTTTCAAATCGGTTTTATATTTGGGTTAAAGTTTCATCTTTTTTTCTTCCTCTTTTAATACCTAAAATTAACTTTTTCATAAAAGCTATAACTATTATAGAGTCCATTTTTTTAAAATTTTTATTTTATGTTCACTGATATGTGATGACGTAAGTTATTACAATGTAAATGCGATATGTTATTTTATTAAATATTTTGTCATTGATTTTCTTATTGTCAGTTACAGTAAAACTTCTTTGAATATTCAATACGGAAACAAAATTGAGAGGACGAAAAGTGAATGTTCAGTGCCTTAACCGGGTCAATGGATATGAAGGATCCACATAGGGGAGTTAGAAAACCCTGATTACAAACCAATGGTGCCCATGGGCTCCAGGATTTTGAGAGAACAAAAGGCATACGAAACTATTGATTGTCACCGGCTACCTTCTGACATTGCTCCACTTTCTTGTGGATCAGATCTTTATGTTGAAAGCTCGAGGTGTGGCCTCCTAAGAAAACCACCTACTTCAGTCTGGGCATCCGGGCAGTATCACAGCCGTCACACAAATCAACGATAACTGCTACTAGCCTCAATGTTATTGTGTGGCGCGTTTGTATTTTGTCCCTCCTTGTATCATATATATATATATATATATATATATATATATATATATATATATTGATGTACTATAAAAGTACTAAGTGTTTTCAAAAATCTGGTTAAACATAAACAATGATGAATAGTGGCTAGTAGTGGAATTCAGGAAGCGCATTTCGTTCTATTTGAGACTCATCAAACGGATGTACGTGCATCCAAGAGTTAATGTTCACTCCGGGACTTAAACCCAGTACCGTTCATTTCAAACTCCATCACGTCTTGGATTTCACTGCTATTCACTATCCATCTTTACTTATAACGCTTGCGACTTAAGGCAATATCAAGGCATTCCGTACAGGATGTACATATTTCAACATGAGACTGATCAATTACAGTCCTAAACAACAATGGGAATGTTCAAGCAAAAAAAAACTAAGTGAATCTAGTCAAAATATTTAAAAATAACGAAAGCTACGTCTTTACTCAATGAATAAATGTACATTGTTATGTAATGTTCACGTTTGAAAATGTTTGTTTATTTGACAACAGGATAATTTGTCAGAAAACAAAAGACTATCAATGCAGAATAATATGAATTCATCATCATCATCACGATTAATGTCAATTTTTTTACATTATATCATATCTCAGTGTTACACTTTAATATATCTATGGTTGTAAGCAAATGGTGAGAAATCACAAAATATAATGAATATTCTGCCTCAATTCTTGTCTTTGCTTTATTCAAATTCGTAAATGGAACTTATCACAAGAAACAAAAGACTATCGATTTCCAGTAGGTTGGATAACATACTACAATAATTTTTTCAGTAACTGAAAAAATGAACCGTGCACTGATAAAAATCATTTATCATTGAAAATGATTGTTATTGTTTCTTATGACCATGTCATACTTTCTAACAGTATCTGTAAAAGCAGACGTTGTATTACATGTGTCTACGACTTTACAGCCTCAATGCTAGTAACAGTGGTAGTAACATCCTATATATATATATATATATATATATATATATATATATATATATATATATATATATATATATATATATATATATATATATATATTTGATTAGGTAAGCATAAACAATTTTATCAATTTCCATACCCATTAACTCTAACATAACTATATCTCGTTCTGAGAAAAAGACACCAATCAGTAGAATCTTTTTTCACCTGACTAATTCAATATTCACACCTATGATAGATTTTAAAGTGTTTTTTTTAAAAACATATCACTAAACAATGAAATCAGTGAAAAACAAGTTAGCCTAAAGAAATGTAATGTAGAAAAACTATTCTAATGTTAAATAAATAGATGGCTTATGGATTTAATCACTCTGAATCCCAAGTTGATTTCTTTCACTATTTTATACAATAAATATGCTCCGAAATAATCACTATATGTAATATTATATTTGATCCGTTTTATGTATAATCACAGATATAATGAAAAATCAGACACATTAACTATCTTATTGTTTTATTTTCTATAGTTTCTACATTATCACCTTGTATTATGACAATTATTTGGTCACTTAACAATGAATTTTGATTGATTTATTGATTTTATAACACTAATTCCGACTAATACATTTATGAGCATTCTAATGATTATATATATATATATATATATATATATATATATATATATATATATATATATATATATATATATATACAGCCCACCAAAACATTTTATGATCAGCTTTCATCTCTGTTTTGTAAAGATAAAATTTATGGTCTTATCAGAGTTTATACATAATTATTGTTTAGTGTAATCTATACTTGACAAAAAAATAAAAGAAAAAAGTTTATTATCATTAGTATAAATGTATATATTTATTATCATTAGATTAGTTACTGTCTCTTTATTCATTTACTCATTAAATCAAAATTTAACTTGATGCATTCATTAGAGTTTAATTACACAAAGAACAATATTCATTTGGAAACTCCCCCCCTTTCAATAAATGTTAATTATTTAAAGAATTCTTCTTTTAAGAAAAACAAAAAGAATAAACAGGTACTTATAATCACTGAGGTAATATATATATATATATATTTCATTTGGGATTAATTTACACTTGATTATATCCCAAAAGGTAAATAATTATTCTTAAAAATGACTAATTATATTTGATAAGCAAATAGCTGGTAATCAGTAATTTTAAATTGTTACTTATCGCTTAAATAATATAACAATTTAAAATGTACTTTTTAAATTTAAAATGAAAAAGCTATTATGAATAGTGGCTAGGAGTGGAATTCAGGATGCGCGTTTCATCCTATTTGGGACTCGTCAGCTGGATGTGCCTGCATTCCAGAGTTGGTGTTCACTTCGGGACTCGGACTCAGTACCGTTCGCTTCATATGCTATCAAGTTATCCGCTTAGCTACTGGGTCCTGATAGCCACCCGATTGTGAAATGGGGTAAAGTTAAAATTCACGTTTACTTAAGTAGCTTGTGAGTTAAGGCTATATTGAGGCATCTGCACAAGATTCACATATACCAACATGAAACTGATCAATTACAGTCCTAAATAATAATCGGAAGATACAAGTAAAACAACACCAAATGAATTTGAAAAACCTATTGTTTCTAATTCATTCAGTTAGCTGTATGATGAATATTATGTGATTTAAAGAAAATAAACAAGTGTAAATTACTCAATGTTAATTTATAAATGAAATGTCACTATATCATTATTATGTAATGTATCC